TGGGCAGCACGTAGAGGAGCCACAGCCCGGTCTGAGCGCCACAGCTGTCCCAAAGGGAAGGGAGTTTTGTGGGCTGGGGTCGGTGGGGGTGGAGCTCAGAGAAAAGGTTCTTCTCTTGTGCTAGAATTTAGGCCCTGAGAGTCAGCCCTTACGGCCTGGGGTCACTCCCATGGAAGCCCCCAGACTTCTGAACAACCCCCGCGGCTGGTGTCAGGGGGGAAGGGCAGGCCTGGGGTCCCGGAAGCCACCTGCCAGGGTGTGTGCCATGGTCTCTTCAGCCCCCTCCCGCCAATACCCAGCCTTGTCTCTGGTTTCCTGTCAGTCTGTCCTCCCCAGGGAGGGGAGGGGCAGCTAATCAGCACCGCAGTGTGGGGGCGGGCTCCAAGACCGTTGGGCGCCCTGAGATCTGACCCACGTGGCCTCGGGGTTATAAGCCCTGCCCGCCCTGAAGGGAACCCCACTTGGGAGCCTGGCGCACAAGGCTTGCACCCTTCAGCCCTGCAGCATTAGGTAAGGATCCGAACCTTCACTTCAGCCCCGGCTGGGGCTCCCCGACTACGGGCTTCAAGGGGTGATGAGGGGCTTGGGCCACAGACTTGGGTGGCAGACCTTGGGTGGAGGTGCTGGGGAGGCCCTTGGGAGGCTCTGGTGCCAAGGCTTCCAAGCCGAGCGCTGGGCAAAGAGGGGCAAGACCCCTCAGGTCTACAGCTTCTGTGGTAGGCCAGCACCTCAAAATCCTTGACTTCTCTCTAGACGAGGGAGTGAAAATGGCTCCTGGCCCTCAGTGAAGAAAGAGGGGTCCAAGGCTTCAAGGGACAAGGGCGGGAGAATAGGGCGGGGATGGCAGAGGCTGGCGAGAGGCTGGAAAGGGGGACTTGGTGTCACTGAGAGGTGCTCAGGGTCTCCCTCCACCCAACATGGCCACCATCTCTGTCAAGACGGCCTTGGGCTCCTGTGTGGGGAGCCACAGCGGTGGGTGGTGAGGGATTCCGGCCTTGGGCTGGAGAGGAGGCCGGGGATCCAGGCCTCTGGTCTGGCTCTGGAGGGCATCACGCCAGGGGCCAGAACCGGGGACTAGGGTGAGGCCCCCTAAGTGGCCACAGTCTCCACCTGAGCGCCCCCGAATGTGGGGGCGACGGGGTGGAGCCGGGTCCGGGGGGAAGGGAAGAGGGAACCAAAGAGGAAGTGGGGGAGGGAGGCCCGGTCTGGCGCCATGCTGAGTCACCGCCCACAGGGCCCGGGCGGGCAGGGGGCCGGGCCGGCGGGCAGGGGGCCGGGGTCTCTGGGCGCAGGGGGAGGGCCGGTGGGGGGGGGGCGTCGGGCCGGAGCCTGGAGGAAGAGCCGGCGGCCTGAAGAGTACCGCAGACGGACAGACAGACAGTGCAGTCACCCATAAAGTAGAAAGCACTACTAACAGCACTGGAGGGTGTAGTGTTTCCTACTTTATGGATGAGTGTACTGTGGGCTTCGGAGACCACGCCGCCGCCGCCCGCCGCCGAATTCCCCAGCCATCGGGGCCGCGTGGGACAGGTGAGCCCCGCGGGCGCCCCCGCACGCCGCCCGGACCCCTGAGAGGCCGCCCGGACCCCTGAGAGACCGCCCCTGCCTGCCGTGGCCCGCGCAGAAACGCGGCCCAGGCTCCTCGGCTGCCCCGAGGGCCGGCAGGTGGACTTCTGGACCCGATGCAGCCGGAGAGGCGCCCCCGCGAAGCGGCCCGGCCGTCGGTGGACGGATGCCGGATGAGAAAGAGGCGGGAAAGTGGGGGAGGAGACGGCATGGAGGCGGGAGCGGTGCCCGGGACCCCGACAATAATAAAGACTGGACTCCTCTCTGTTGTCTGAGACTCTGTTGCTGGGTGCGGTGGGGCAAATGGGCTTAGCAGGCACATGGATGCGCAGAAAGGCCGGAGGGAAAGTCACTCTCTCCTGAGAGAAATGGGTTTGGCTCTGCCTAAGGGACCAGAAAGGGGCTCTGGGCCTGGTCGGCTGGTGGCCTGCGGAGGGCCATCCCGGGGGGAGGACCTCCCTGCAAAGGAGGAGAGTGGGCAGGACGTCAAGGGCAGGGCTCTGAGGACTTCCTGCCCTTTACCCCAGCTCTGGCCTTGCGCTGCCCTTCACCTGCTTTTCACACCCGCAGACTGAAGGCGGCCTACCTTTAAGCTGTAATCTCAGACAGTCTAGGGGCTCCTTGGTAGTCTAAGAACTGGAAACAAAGTCACTGTGTCTCACACACAAAAAGTGTCATACGTAAGACAAGGGCACAGATGCTAATATACAAAGCACATGCCAGCACATGAGTGCAATCACACACAGGGCCCAGTATACAGAAGCTGTCAATACAAACTGTGTCAGGATTTCCCTGATGGTCCAGTGGTTAGGACTCTGCGCTTCCAGTATTGGGGGGGGGGGGGGGCAGGGTTTGATCCCTGGTTGGAAAACCAAGACCCTACAAGTGGTATAGTGCAGCCAAAAGAAAAAAAAATAAATTGAAATGGTACGTTTACATGGCAGCATGTCACACAGTGACACACAGGGATATACCCACACTCAGGACACAAATATATTTAATAGTATACACACATGCAATGATATAAATACATATAATGTGTGTCACAAAAGAGCATAAAAATACACATATGGTGACATTCACATAATAAACACATTGCTTCTGTACACATACACATATAGTGACACGTGTGTGTACACATACACATATAGTGACATGTTCATACACAATGAACACACAAGAGAGACATGGTGATATATATAACTACATATATATATACTATATATATAACTATATATAACTACATATAAATAAAACCATGTCACTGTACGTCATTACATATCCATGACTGTATGAGAGTGTGCTATATTGTGTGATGTCATCCATATACATTTATGATGACTTACATGTTGTGATTTATACACTCAATCATAGCCTCACGTACACACCACAGCATGTGGATGATGTGACAAGTATATATGCAATGGCACATACACAGAAACATGCATACGTGTATACCCAATGAGGCCCATAGACACAATAGCATACACGCATGCATACATATATGTGTGTGCATGTGTATATAAAGTAACACACTGTTTACCCACATACACAGAGACAAATTTACGCCCTATGTATGTGTACTACACATACGCATGCACATAATGGCACGTGCATACACCCTGCATGTGTATACTGATTTAGGGAAGTGAGGATGACACGTCTTCTTCATGCTCCCCCACCACCAACAGTTCCATCAGCTCTGGCCTAGGTAGAGCTCACTATCAGGGGCTCTTTGGCTTAGCACTACTGGTGCTATCCCAGGGGACTGCCACACGGGGGCCCCCTCCCTTAGGCGAGACTGGCTTGAGCCTCAGGTTGGGAGGGACTGAGAATCCGGTCCAGAGGCCTCTCTGAGGTCCATCCTAACATCCGTGTCCCTGGGGACTCCATCTAGGTCTCTGCCACCATGTAGAGGCTGGTTTAACGGTGGAGGAGTTCCACATCCTTGTCCCCAAAATGCCATTTTACCATAACGAAAAGTCTTAGGATGAGACAGAAGGTGAGCTTCCTGACAGTTTGGGGCTAAGCCAGCCTCACAAGCCACGTGGCCTTCCCCGCTGACCTGAGAAGCCAGGTTGCCCCCAAAATGCATCAGCCAGGAGGAAGCGAAAGCAATTATCTCAGCCTATTTCCACCTCTGTCTCCTTGTTTCTCTCTTGTTGTTTTCATTATCTTGATTTCCCTGTCTTTCTCTTTGTTTCATCGTAAATTCCATCTTTTCTGTTCCTGCCTTTCTCCGTGGCTGGATCTGTCGTGCCAACCCCGTCTCTGTCTCTACCCGGCTTGGACTGGGACAGCTATGGAGACAGCTGTCTGCAGCCCCCCTGACACCGTACCCCGGAAGACGTGGGGGGTGTGTGTGGGAAGGGTGGGCGCTCACACGCTGGGGGCACTGGGTCGACATCCTAAGGAACCTGTTCTTCCCTCTGTCCCAACCCTGCCTGCCGGTCCAGCCCACCAGTCCAGCGCCATCCCCATGGAAACCAGCAGCCGACTTCCTATTGGTGGGCGGGAAGGGAGGGGGAGGGGGCGGGAAGGGCTGGCTCTCCCTCGCTCACCCCCTCGGGTTCTGAGGCTCGGCCCTCCTCGGCGCCCACCATCTCGGGGCTCTGGGACTACAGGGGACCCCTTCAGTCCCCAGAGCTGAGGTCAGCAGGGAGAGAGACTATGAGGCAAGCAGCCCACCGACCTAGGCCTCCTTAGGACCAGCCCAACCGCCCAGCAAGCTGGCCAGCAGCGGCGGAGAGAGGAGCGGGAGATAAAGGACTCCAGCGGACCTTTGGGGATCACCCCCAGCAGCTCCTGGACCCTAGCCGGGCTGAAGGATCGTGATGGATGGTCAGGTTCACAGAGGCTGAAACGGACACACAATGACAGCCATACACACAGCAGTACACAGCCCTGAGACGCTCAGATACAACCGGTGACAGCATCACACACGGCCACAGCCCTGCAGTAGACACCCACACACGCAGAAACAGCTGGTGACTCTGATACAGGCACAGGCAGTGACACACAAAATCACAGCCCCCCAGCGCGCACACACACACACACACACACACACACACACGGCCGTGCTGACCGGCACAGGCCGACCTGCAGACACGCGCACACCCTCAGCCGGCGCGGCTGTCGGTGGCCTCGGCACATGCTCCCCACCCCCGCGGGGACACCCGTGCTCCTCCACAGGCTCGCGCACACAGCCACGAGCAGACAGCTCACACGCACACCCCTCGCTGCAGCTCCTCCGGCAGCCCCGGCTCCCGCAGCCTCCTTTGTGGGGAGGAAGCAGCTGGCTAACCTTGGATGGAATTGCAGTGAAGCCCAGCGCTCAGAGAGGAGAGGGTCTGGCCTGGCGTGAGCCTCGCCGGCCCCTCCAGCGGGCTGGGTGATGTCCCCGGGCTTGGGTCCTGGGGACCCTTGGCAGAACCATGGAGCAACTGACATCCTTCCCGCGGCTGGGGGACCCCGGAAACATGGAGCCGTGGGCACTGTCCGCCTGGCAGAGCTGGACTCCAGGCCGGGGGGTTGATGCTGGAGGCGCACCCCCAAGCATGGCTGGTAACCCCACAGATCTGCGTGTTGGAGAACTGAGGCCTGAGGAGAGCTCCGAGCCTGAGGGAGCCCGAAGCCCGGGGCCTGTGGGGGGCATTGAGCCTGGAAGAACAGCAACTGGGCTGCCCAGCCCTGCGCAGGGAGCCTTGAGCTCCGGACCTGGCTGTCAGAGGCTGGAGGACCCGGAGGCAGAGGCTTTGTCTAAGGTAAGGGAGCTAGGATGGCCGGGGTCTGCGAGGCTGGGGCTCTCATCCTGCCTGCCGGCCTGGGCATGGTCTGGGACTTCACTGCCCCCTGTCTTCTCCGGGCCTATCTCTGTCTGGGGGTCCGTCTCTGTGATCGTCTGTCCTCCCTTCTTTGGGCAGAAATCTCAGTGGTTCTGTTTCTCACCATCTGTCTGTCCTTCTGACTAGGCCTGTCTGTCTGCTTTGAACCCTCCATTTCCCCCTCCCTCTGTGAGTCTCTCTCTGACAGTCTGTCTGTGTCTGTCTATCTCTCTTCTCTGTACCTCTCTGTCCTTGGGGGCTGGGGGATACTGGAGGAGTGTGTGTGGGGGAGTGTGTGATGGAATCAGAGTCTGGAGGAAGCGACTCAGCGGAGGGGGGCTCAGTGCTGGGCCAAGCCAGAGAGGACAAGGCTTGGGGTGGGTGTGAGTTGTCTCCTGTAGACGATGGAGGGACCTGGACTTTGGGGGACTCAGGATCTGGGGGAGCCTGGAAGAGTGGGGGTGGGAGCTCAGGCTGGCCTTTCCCAAGAGGGGATGCTGGGCAGAGGTGGGAAGAATTGGGGACTGCCAGAGAGGGTCCCAGGGTTGGGAGATGCTAGTGTACCAAACAGCCCCTCCTGTGCCCCACTCTGAAGGCCTGGGACATAGGGGAGAACCTTCTTGTCTCCATGTCTCCTTGGACTGTGGAGGGGGAACGCGTCCACATGGAGGGCTCTGATTTCCATAGGCAGGGTAATTCCTGAGGGGCTGTGCCCCATCCTTTCCCATGCCAGGGCAAGCTGAAAATGGGCTTCGGGGACAGGCCCAATCTGGAGCTGCTGAGGGCCGTGGGGGAGCTGCAGCAGCGCTGTGCCATCCTTAAGGAGGAGAACCAGATGCTGGTGAGGCTTGGAAAGCAGGTCCTGGGTCCTGGGGGGGAGGCAGACTCAGACACCCCGGCTCTCTGCTTCGACATCCTTCTCATCCCATGAACATCCCTCCAAGCGGGAGCTACATGGAGCGGACATGACCCCAAGACCCAGAGAGGGTGAACCCCTACCTAGAGTTGCCAAGGAGCCCCCCTGTGAGCCCAAGAGTCTAGCCCAAGGCCCAGGCTGTTACGATTCGGTATGGGGCAGGGGCTGGCCTTCTCCCCACATGCCCCAATTCTGGCTGACCCCTTGTCAGAGGAAGAGCAGCTTCCCCGAGACGGAGGAGAAGGTGCGGAGGCTGAAGCGGAAGAATGCCGAGCTGGCGGTCATTGCCAAGCGCCTGGAGGAGAGGGCCCGAAAGCTGCAGGAGACTAACCTGAGGGTGGTGAGGATGGGAGGCCACTGGATGGAGGCTGGGCGGCCAGGGCAGAGGGGTGCCAGGGCAGTGGGGCTTGGGCATCGTGGACCCTTAGTACCCAGGGACGCAGGAACCCATCAGCTGAGGTGTAGAAAGGGCCAATGCCAGCCAGACTAGGGGGCTGGGGGCTTCTGGAGCCACGGAGGGAGAGAAGGGCTGGGTGGGGGTGTGGGGGGTGTGGGGGGTGTCCCGGGCAGGGAGAGCAGAATTCTGGATTGTCAGTGCTGGCGCTGGCGGCCACCTCCTGCTGCGCTCATCTCTGGGTGCAGAGCTAGCAGGGACAAGACCCATCACAGTGGCAGCCCTCAATTAGCAGCATCCTTTGGGCCTAAGCTAGGAGGTGGAGTTAACTCTTTCACTTCCGTTTGAGGATTGCAGGGAAGGGGTCAAGCGAGGCTGAGGGTCGGCCCAGGATAGACCACCCTCCCCCCCCCCCGCCCCCCCCGCCCCCGACCCAGGATAGAAGCAGGTGAAGGCCACATTTCAAAGGTGTTCATCCTAACCCCTCCTTTGGGAGGAGCTGAGAAGTGGGAGAAGTGGCCCAGTCCTCAGATGACCATTGGCCTTACCCCTCCCCCGGCCAGGTGAGTGCTCCCATGCCCAGTCCAGGGGCCAGCTTGGAGTTGTGCCGGAAGGCCCTGGCCCGCCAACGAGCCCGGGACCTCAGTGAGACAGCCAGCGCCCTGTTGGCCAAGGACAAGCAGATCGCTGCCTTGCAGCGGGAATGCAGGGAGCTGCAGGCCAGGCTCACCCTGGCAGGCAAGGTGCGTGGAGGCCCTGTCACCCCTGCCAGCTCAGCCCTACCTAGGGCCGCCGGCCTGGCGGTGTGGGATGCAGACTGAGATGTTAATGAGATGCAAATGAAGCGAGCAGGTGGAGGCTGCTGGGAGTAGGTTCCCCTGGCAACGGCCCAGGTGGGAGCGGGGACTGGGCGCCTGAACCGAAGGGGGTGGAGCCGTGAGTCCCAGACCTGGGAATTTCTGGGCTCCAGGTTTCGGGCTGCAAGCCAGTGGGCCTGGCTATACGAACTCACTCATAACCTCACACTGGGGTGCAGAGATGTTCGCAAGGCATTGAGCACAGCGCCGGGCACACCTCAAGTGCCCAGTAAACGCGCTCCCGGGAATGTTTGCACACCGGCGAGCGGAAGCATGGGGCTGTGTAGGCATGCATCTGCGACCGGGCATAGATGCATGGGGAGGGTGCGCACCTGCCCCCGCCCGAGGGCCCCTGCAGTCCAGCGGAGGGCGGGCTCAGCTGGGGACGGCGCGGGCGGGTCGGGGTTAGGCCCGACTCGGTTCCCGGTCCCCCGACTCCAGGAGGGCCCCCAGTGGCTCCACGTGCGGGACTTCGACCGGCTGCTGCGCGAGTCCCAGCGGGAGGTGCTGCGGCTGCAGAGGCAGATCGCCCTGCGCAACCAGCGGGAGCCGCCCTCGCCGCCCCGGCCCCCGGACCCCTCTGCCCCGGCCAGAGCAGGGGCGCCCGCCCCGGGGGCCCCGGGAGAGGTGAGCGCCGGCGCCAGGGCAGGTGTGTAGGTGTGCGGAGAACCGGGTGGGAGCGGCTCCGGGATCTCCCTCCTCCCCGTGCACCGCGCTCAGAGCCCCGACGAGGAGGTGGCGGCGCGGGCACTGCCCGGGCCAGGTCCTCGGCCCGGCTTCCCAGGGCTCGTACCTGCGCCGCGCCGCCCCCGGGGGCTCGGGCCCCCTCTCCGCAGGCCTGAGGCCGGCGGCCCGCCCCGCCGCCCCTGCCGCGCCGGCAGTGGTACGGCCCAGCCGCAAATCCCTGGTTGCCCTGGCAGCCGCCCGGGGCCCAGCCCGCGCCGCTGCCTCCCGCTGCAGCCACAGCGCGGGGACGCCCCCTTCAGCGCCTGCCTGGTCCGTCAGACCCGGCCCGGCTCCCCGGGGGCGGCGCGGTGTCCTCCCCGGCTCCAGGTATGGGCGACCCTCACCGGGCGTCGGGCTTAGGCGGCCCCTGGCCCGAAAGCTGGGCACCCCGCTTCGGACCTCCGTAACTGAGAGGTCTGGCTGCTCTCCATCCTCCGTCCTGGGCGGCACCTGGGTCCCCCTCCTTCCGGGAAGAGGGGAGGGAGAAGGGATTTGGCCCCTCTGCCTGGTCCAGGGGTGGGTGGGGCGGGGAGCATCACTCAAGACCTGTCCTCCAGAGTTTGCACGGATGGATAACCGGACATGGCCATAGGGTGGGCTCAGGGAAGCTGGGAGGAGGGTCTGACAGGTCTGTAGGCGCTAGGCCAAGACTCTTTGGATCCATAACCCCTAGGTCTGGGGACATCACCTCCCTGGGGGCCCAGGCAGCCTCCTAGTTCTCTGCCAGTCACTGAAGGACACCCAGGACAGTTATTGAGTGCAGAGCAGGGCTGCAAGCTAAAAAGGGAAAGCTTTGGCCTGGATAGAGGACCTATCTCCCCGGGCAATCATGGGTCTCTGGATCTCAAAGCACTCAGGATCAACTGGAGATGGGGGAGCGGGGGCAGATAGCACCCTTCCCCTTCCTGAGCAGGGATCTCTTTGCTGACTGTGAGGTGGGGTGGGAACCCCCCTCGGACAGGCTGGGCTGGGGGCAGGCTGCCCTGAGGCCTTGCCCTCAGGTGCCAGCCCACTGCCCCTGGCCATTTCCAGGCCATACCCCAGGAGGATGTGGAAAACCCGGCTGTGGTCCTAGGGGAGCCCGAGAAACAGCAGAGGGTGCAGCAACTGGTAAGACCCGGGTTAAGGAGCTGGAGGAGACCCTTTATGGGTGGATCTGCCTTCCCGTGTGAGGAGCTCCTTTCTGATCCTGCAGGAATCGGAGCTCAGCAAGAAGCGGAAGAAATGCGAGAGCCTGGAGCAGGAAGCCCGGAAAAAGCAGAGGCGATGCGAGGAGCTGGTGAGCACTGTGGGGTCTCAGAAGGCCGGCTCCTCGGGTCTCTCAGGCCCATCAGGTGGAGGGCTCCCCCAGAGTGCCAATTCCTTCTCTCCTGGCCTGAAAGCATGCTTTCCCTTCTGTTCGGTGGGGCTTCCCTTTGCTGGCTGAGGCAGGTCCCAGGAGGGGGCCGGCAGGGTCCCGTGTGCTTGTGGGGGGAGAAGAGGAGGTGGGCGCTGGGACCCTCCCTGGACCTCCCCTCTGGTCTTGCAGGAACTGCAGCTCAGGGCAGCCCAGAATGAGAATGCCCGCCTTGTGGAGGAGAACTCTCGGCTCAGTGGGAGAGCCACGGAGAAGGAGCAGGTAGCGGCTCTGCCCAGGTTCTTCCAGGGCCCCGTCCCTGGGCAAGGTGCTGCCTCTGCCAACTCTCCCAACTCCTGAGGCCCCTGGGGGCGGGGGTGCTGGGGGGCAAGGCTCACACTCTCAGCTCTCTGCGCTCCCCCCTGTCCAGGTGGAGTGGGAGAATGCAGAGCTGAGGGGCCAGCTCCTGGGGGTGACGCAGGAGAGGGACTCAGCCCTTCTCAAGAGCCAAGGCCTGCAGAGCAAGCTGGAGAGCCTGGAGCAGGTGCTGAAGGTGAGGGCACTGGGCAGGTGGCGGGAGGGTGGCACGGGGCGAAAAAGGGATGGTAAAGCATGTGCCCTGCGTGGGGCGCGGGGGTGTAGGGCTGAGTCCTGGCACCCGCGGCCCTTTCCTTCTCTAGCCGCAGTTTCCTTTTTAACAGAGTGTCTGGAACACATGGTGTCTGAGGCGCCCTCATCTTAGATCTTCCGTAGAGACAGTAGAGCAGGGCTCGGGCCTTGACGCAGGCTCTTGCGTTTCAGCACATGCGGGAGGTGGCCCAGCGGCGGCAGCAGCTGGAGGTGGAACACGAGCAGGCTCGGCTCAGCCTGCAGGAGAAGCGGGAGGAGGTCCGGAGGCTGCAGCAGGTGGGGGCGGCATCTGGAGGGGTGGAAGGGCGGGGGGCTGCCAGGCCCCAGCTGTAGCTTCCGGACCCTCATCCAATATGGGCATTTATGGAGAACCCTTGGTGGTTCAGACGGTCAGGAATCTGCCTGCAATGCAGGAGACCTAGGTTCCATCCCTGGGTGGGGAAGATCCCCTGGAGGAGGGCATGGCAACCCTCTCCAGTATCCTTGCCTGGAGGATCCCATGGACAAAGGAGCCTGGGGGGCTACCGTAGGTGGAATCACAAAGAGTTGGACACAACTGAGCAACTAACACTGTCTAACTAAAACACTGTGTGCCAGGCACTGTGCCAGGCCCTGGAGGGACTGTGAGGGGCAAAGGCCAGGTCCCTGATCGAGCAGCACAAAAACAGATCCATGCGTGAGCTGATCGCAGGCATTGACAGGAACAGTGGGGGAAGTCACCGGGGTGATGTGACACAGGGTGGTGAGGATGGGGTGAGGGGTCTCTTCAGCGAGCTTGGCAAGGAAGGCCTCTCATACCTCGAGGGTCAGAAGGAGCCAGCTGATGAGCACTCTGGGGAGGGGGAATAGTCATGCCGATGCCCTGTGGGCGGGAGAAGCTTGAGGGGCACAGACCAGTGTGGCTAGCACGTGGTACGATGGATGGAACGGCAGGAGTAGGCAAGAGCCAGATCGCATCAGACCTTCAAGTCAGGGGAGAAGTCTGGGTATTCTGCTTTCTGAGTCGTTTGAAGCCGTTGAAAGATCCCGAGCAGGGGAGTGGCATGGTCTGATTCGTCATTTAGAGGGTCACTTTGGCAGCAGTGTGGATGGTGGACAGGGGCGTGGGCACAGAAGCAAGGCATTGAGGTGGCGGGTGGCCGCAGGGGTCCAGGTGGGAGATGATGTCTGCCTGGGTGAGAGTATAACCCACGGCGGGAAACAAGTGGGCAGATTCGAAGTACATTGTGGACAGAGAATCGACAGGACTCACTGTGGGATTCTGATTGAGTGCCCTGCACCTTCACCCAAGTGCTGACTATATGGATGGTTGGGCCTTTCACCCCCCAGGACTGAGGGATGACGGGCAGCAGGTATGAGAGGTCAGGCATCCCGAGTTCTGAGTTCTGTTTCAGCCAAGTTCGGGTTGTGTGTTAACCACCCTAGTGGAGAGGCCCACAGACAGCTGGACTTGGGAGCCTTGGGTCCTAGGGAAGTCGGTCTTGGAGACAGGTTTCAGACTATTCAGTGCATCTGGTCCTGCGACTAGATGGGAGTCTAGAGAGAGAGTGACCACGGGCCCAGCACTGTGCCCTGTGGGACCCTGACACTCAGAAGGGGCAAAAGACGAGCAGGCAGAGAGCATCAGGAGAGACAGGAGGAGGAAAAAACCCCGAGGGGGAGGGTCTGGGCAGCAGGAAGCAGTCCCAGGCCCCTCTTCTCCGCCCCTTCGCCTTTAGACTCAAGGTGCGATTCAGAGTGGGAACCGGAGGGAGCCCACCCACAGCCCCCTCCCAGCCCCCTTTCCTCTCCTCTCTCCTTCGTCTTGCCTACCCTCCTCCCTTGATCCCACCCCAGTCCTCACCCCTCTCCTCCAGCATTTGCCTCCTCCCACCTGTAGGCCCAGGCGGAAGCCCAGAGAGAGCATGAAGGTGCTGTGCAGCTGCTGGAGGTAGGGTCCCCGGAGGTGGCCACCTCTAGCCAGGGGGAAAGGCTGGGGCGGTTCGGAGAGTGCTGCAGGGGGCTGCCTGGATGTGGGTGGGGGTGTGCACTTGCAGGAAGGGTCCCTAGATGCTCTGGGGGCTGGGGTGATCCCCTTCACCTTTGGCCCTGAAATATCCTTCCACTTAGCACTTGCTTAGTTGGTCTAGGGAGCTGACTGAGCCCTGTCTATTTGGGCCCCTCCCTCCCTCTCTGGGTAATACCCCCCCCCCACCCCCCGCCCCAGCCCCCGTAAGAGTTCTAACTCTCCTCTGGGCTTTCCTTTCCTGCCACAGTCTACCCTGGATTCCATGCAGGTACAGCCTCCTGATCCCCCATCTCCCTGGGGAGCTGGGGCGGGGGCTCTCCCCAACACCCCTCCAGGCTGGCTGAGCTGAGTCTCTTCCCTCAGGCCCAAGCGGTTCCAGCCCTGCTGTCCAACGACAGGGCTGTGACTGGTCACAGGCTGAGACTCCGTAGATGGGCTGGGATTCTCACAGGGCATGTGCTCACCCCGCCAGCCCCAGCCCCAGCCCCAGACCTGCCACTGTGCCTGGCACACACAGGCCCTGCCCATCTCTGAAGCCCAGCCCCTGAGACCAAGAGGGGTTCAAGCCAGCCAGTCTGACCCACAATCCCCTTGATGGGGACTCTCCTGATCCTTGAGAAAAACTCCTGGGTGCTGGCTCACTCCTGTCCCAATGATGTCCCGAGCTCCTGGGGTCTCTGCGGATGTCTCTGAGGGCAGGGATGTGGGTCAGAGACGTGGCTGTGGAAGGGTGACGAGCCACGGAGTGGAGAGAACTCCTGAAGTGATACCGTGGTGGTGATGGGGTGGGGTGACCCCTTTTGGGGTCAACGTGCAGCAAGTGCTGGGGCACGCGGCTGAGCTGGGGGTGGGGTTGGGAGTGACGCTGTCCCGCAGTGCCCAGGTCTCGACCCTCAGCCGCCCGATGTGGGGGCAGCCGGGTGGCCAGGCTGAGGGTTCGTGCCCTGCCCCGGGGCCTGGGCGGGTGCGATCTGAAGCAGGGCTGCGTGGAGATGGCACGGGCCCGGCCCAGGCAGCTCCGTGGCCCGGCGGCTCATCCTGCGTCTCGGCCCAGGTCCGGGTCCGGGAGCTGGAGGAGCAGTGCCGCAGCCAGACCGAGCGCTTCAGCCTGCTGGCTCGGGAGCTCCAGGCCTTCCGCCTGCACCCTGGCCCCCTGGACCTGCTCACCTCCGCCCTGGGCTGCGGTGCCCCAGGGGACCGCCCACCACCCCCCTGCTGCTGCTCCACCCCGCAGCCCTGCCACGGATCCTGCCCCAAAGGTGAGGTAGACCCCCAGTGCCGTCAGCGTGGTGCTTTTGTCCTGAGCGGAGTTCAGGGTCAGAGAAGGCTAGCAGCTCACCTGAAGTCACATGGCAAGTTAGAACCGGTTCTGGCTTGAGTCAGGCTCCAGTGGGTGGGGGGCGGGCAGGGAACAGCTGAGCCCACTGGAGAATCTCAGGGAGCTGCTCCTCCCGCTCCTCTGCGGTCCTGGCTGGGAGGTCGGCATCAGGAGTCAGTGGCAGGCAGTGTGGGCTGGCGAAGAGCCAGCTGGGCATCGGTCAGATTGGGTGGTCCCGGCTCCACTCACTCAGAGAGTGACACTGCTAAAGCTCTGTGGGCTGTGTCCTAGGCTCTGAGACAGGGGCGTCCACGGCACCTCATCGAGTTGCTCTGAGGATGCTGTGAAATAATACGTGTAAGTGTTCTCCATCTCCGCTTAGTACGCTCCCCCAGGATTTCCCTTCTTGTAAGGGAACTTGGCCACAGAGGGCCTGATCTCTAGTTCCAAGAGGATGCGTGGTCACTGGTCGCTCCTTGGGACACCGACCCCCAAGGCCACATGTCATCTTTCCTGTAGACCTCGACCTCCCACCAGCGTCCCCGGGGCGCTGCACCCCAAAGTCTTCCGAGCCTGCCGCTGCCACTCTTGTCGGGGTCTCCCGGAGGACGCCGGCCAAGAGGGCAGAGTCTCTGTCCAACTCCTCTCGCTCCGAGTCCATCCACAACAGCCCCAAGTCCTGCCCGACCCCTGAGGTCAGTGCTGGGGAGGGGCCTGGGCTCCAGCTCTGCCTTGGGTGGGTGGTGGCCCAGGAGCTGGGGGGCTGCTGGCCCGTGTAGGGGGTCTAGCCAGGCCCTGGAGAAGAGGGGCCCATGGATTCCTCAGGAGTGGGCTGGCGGGTGGGGAGCTCTGATGCGGCCTGTCCTGCCTGCCGTCCCTCCTCAGGGGCCGCCCAGCCCACCCCTCTGGGGCCCAGCAAGGCCAGAGAGTCTTGGGCTGCAGGGAGGGAGACCCTTTGGGGCCACATAATGAGGCTGGTGGTGAGAGTGTCCATGGCAGAAGCCGGTGGTGCTGTGAGAAGGGGCAACGGTTCTGGGATTGAGGTCCCAGCTGTGTCTCCGGCAGGTCGCTGACCCTCTTTGGGCTTGGGTTCCGCTGTCATCTGAGTTTTGAACTAACAAGCCTGCCCGGTGAGGTTGTGGGGAGGATGATGTGAAAACAATACAAGGACGGTGCCTCCCGCCGTGTGGGGCACACAGTAGATGCTTAACATATGGCAGCTGGTATCTGCCAAGTTCTTTGGTATCACTCACAACCGCAGCCCTCCCTCTCTCTCTCCCGCCCAAACCCGAGAAAGTTGGGGGGGGCGGCGGGATGGGGGCATCCGGAGCAGCGCTGCAGCCTCGGGTGTGGGAAGCAGTGAGCCCAGCCGCGGCCTCTACCGTCCCCTTGTGGGCAGGAGTGGAGGTGCTGGCTTTGGGTGCCCCTGCTTACCCTGCCAGTACCTCTGTCCCAGGGACTTCTCAGCTTCCAGCTAGAGTGCTTTATTGCAGTTTTATAACCTTAAGGACACAGACTGTCGTAGGGCGCCCCCTTGCCCCCTGCCGCCAGAGTGTCTGCCCCCTCTACGCTGGGGACGGTGGTCTTATTTACTGGGCTGGTGCAGCAGAAGCCAGGGCTCAGGGAGGGGTCACCGGTAACCCCTCTCCATTGACGCAGGGCGTCTGGACTCCACCAGGCCCCGAGGGCTGACGTTCTGGTTTAGAACGCGTCGGTGGAGCTCACTGCCGCTGGCCTCGTCCAGCATCTGCCCCGTTTCTCGTCTCAGGACAGTGGGGCCTCCCCTGCCGGGTTTGCGGTCGGCCCCTGGGTCCCGGAGAGGACTGGCCCTCTTCTGTTGGCCCCCAGGTGGACACAGCCAGTGAGGTGGAGGAACTGGAGGCAGACAGCGTCTCGCTGCTCCCGGCAGTGGCAGAGGGCGGCCGGGGCGGAGCCAGGGTGCAGGTCTTCCTAGCTCGCTACAGGTGGGCCCTGACCCCTGTGCCCCGGCCCTCCAGCATTTGGGGTGCATGGGGGGCATGAGACGGTGGGGGCGTGGCAGGGGTCACAGTGGGACAGGTCATCTTCGCCTCGTTGGGCTGGGGTGGGTGCAGTGGGCACTCCCTGTGATTAACGGTGGACAATAAAGTGTCCTCAAGCCCGAGCGATGGGGCGGGGAGGAGACAGGATGTCAGTCACCATCCCCCTCCTCCTCCGGGCCTCCCTGCAGCTACAACCCCTTCGAGGGCCCCAACGAGAACCCAGAGGCAGAGCTGCCGCTGACCGCCGGCGAGTACATCTACATCTACGGCAGCATGGACGAGGATGGCTTCTTTGAAGGTAGGAGGGAGTGGGGACTGTACCATCCATTCGTTTGCTTTGAAGCTCCTCTTCCCAAAGCCCTCCACCCGTGCGCACCCTCTGAGCCCGCCGTCACTTCTCAGACTTGGCTGAAAGGCAAGGAGAGACCTGGCGGCCCATGGGGAAAGGGAGAGAAAGGGGTCCGGGGGCAGCTGGTCTGACTCCATGCCTGCCCCATGAAGGACAGAGGGCCCAGCACAGTCCAGAGGGTGGACCGAGCGTCACAGTGAATTTCGGCTGAATTTGCTTTTCTGCTGGCAGGCGGGGCATGGCAGTGCCCAACACTAGTGACCTCGAGGTCGGGCATGTGGTACATAGATCTGATGCTGAACCCAGTGAGTGTGGGGAGGAGGGATCAGGGGTCCAGGGCCCAGGAGAGGGTGTCAGCAAGTGGTCAGCAGTTGCCGGGGCCCAGGCAGGGCTGCGCTCCAGGGCGGTTCTGCAGTGCCCAGGGCGCTTCTGTGGTGCCCGTGGGGCGATCAGCTCACTGAAGCAGATACCATGTTACTGACTGGGCAATACGGCAGGGCCTGGCAGACTCCTCGGGGTGCCCTGGCTAGGCGCCAGGCTGCATCCTTTCATAGCATGGAGGACAGTGTGGTGTGGAGCCCAGGATGAGGGTGGACAGGGCAGGTGAGAGCTGCAGCCGTGTGTGGGGATCAGCAGAGTGCTCGGGTCTGCGCCTCTATCAGCCACAGCTTGGGGTTTGTGGGGCCTGCTCAGCCTCTCCTCCTGGGGCCCCCTGCCTGTTATCTGAGCAGGTGCTGGGAATGATGGAAAACAACTAAACTCTCTAGGGATGGATGATGGAGAGAAGGATTAAATAGCTCCCAGAAAAATGGCCTTTTTAATGAGGAAAAAAAAATTGAAACACCAACTCTGTCCAATCCCATGGACAGAGGGGCATGGCAGGCTACAGTCCATGGGGTCGTAAGAGTCAAACACAACTTAGCGACTAAACCACCACCATCACCACCAGCAAGAACATAAATATTAACTAACCACCAGTTACTAGAATTTGAACTGTGCAATCTAGGGTAGCTGGAAAGGCATGTAGACACGTGGGGGTCGGACTCCCTATTCCTCATCTTACTTTGGTGGCTTCATCTGTGTCTGGTCCCACAGCTGGGCTGCTCTCAGCGAAAGGGCTTCCAGACTGTGGCCCCGGCTCCTGCACCAGCCTTGCAGGGCTGCGGACCTGCTTAGTGTGATGGTTCATCCCGTTAGCATCACACCCCACAGTGTTGCCTGTATGAATTTCTTAGCGCTGCCGTAAAAAATTTCCACCAACTGGGTGGTGGCTTAAGCAACAGAAATGTGTTCTCTCACAGTTCTGGAGGCCGAAGCCTGAAAGCAAGGTGCTGGCAGGGCCACCGTGCTCCCAGAGGCCCTGCCGGAGATTCCGCTCCTTGTCCCGTGCAGTTTCTGGGGGTCCAGCTGTTCCCTGCTTGCGGCCGCATCACTCCGGTCCCTGCATCTGCAGTCACATCACCTCCTTTTCTCTCAGTGCCTCTCCTTGTGTGTCCCCTTAAAAGGACACTTGTCATTGGGCTTAGGGCCCACCCAGATAATCCAGGACGATCTTTATCTCAAGCTTCTTAACTGCACCTGCGAAGACACTTTTGCCATATTTACAGGGTTCAGGGTTTAGGATGTGGACATATTTTGGGAAGGCCACCTTTCAACCAACTACTTATGCGCTGTTACCTAATTTTTTGAAAGTCTCTTTTGTTTCTCTTCATTTTCTTACTTTATCCCCCAACTCCTAGCCTGAGTAGAGAGAGATGATGTTGGGGAAGCTTCCACGTCCTCCTGCCGCTCAGGACCGCCTACACCCACCCCCTGCCCTAAACCTGGCCCTTGTTCCCCTTTCTCCCAAGAAGGCCAGGCAGCCGCCAGCTCCTCTGTGCCCTGGGACTCTTCTTCCTTTTCCCAAATTAGCTGTGATGTGACAGGCCGTCTGTCCAGGTTTTTTGATCCTTGTCATCCCACAAACAATACGAAATGTTTTATAATGTTCTGTTGCCAAGTGTTCAGGGGAGCTGGTCCAAGGTAACAGAACTTTGCTGCAATCGCCGTCAGAACTGACAGGCACCTCCCTGTGGTCCAGTGGTTAAGAATCTGCCTTGCAGTGCAGAGGATGTGGGTTCGATCCCTGGTCAGGGAACTAAAACCCCACATGCTTTGGATCAACTAAGCCTGCACGCTATAAGTAGGGAGTCTGTGTGACACAAATATCCTGCATGCTGTAACTGACACAGACAAATAAATAAATATTAACCAAAGAACTGACTGCCAGTCATGCTCCTAGACCCAGGCCTGCTGTGGATCTCAGTGCCTTCTAGAACCCACAGGGGGCTCTTTCCTCTGGCACATGTGTCTTTTGTCTCTAAAGATTCCTGCCTTTCTTCTAGCCAGACAGGACCTCCCTCTCCCTTTGAGGGTGTCTGCTTTCCACACAGGAAGGTTGAGGTGTGCCCTTGCCCTCACTCCTCAGACCCATGTAATATGACAGTTTTCAAACAGACAGAAAAGTTAAATTGTAAAATGAACACCACCGGGATTCAACAATTATTAATATTTTGTCATAATTGGCTTTTTCCCATGTGGGTTAAAAATAGGATTGAAAAGCAAGGTGTTGACAGATAATATTTTATTTCTTTTTAAGTGAATGGATTAATTTTGGCTGCACTGGGTCTCCGTTGCAGTGCACGGGCTTTCTCTAGTTGAGGCGAGAGGGTAGCGCTTGTCTTGTTGCAGAGTACGGGCTCTAGGCATCTGGGCTTCAGTAGCTGTGGAGCATGGGCTTGGTTGTTCCGAAGCGTGTGGAATCTTTCTGGCCCAGGGATGGAACCCATGTTCCCTGCATTGGCAGGCAGATTCTTAACACTGTACCACCAGAGGAGTCCAACACACGATATCTTACCTAGACATACTTCCATGTGCATCTGGACATCCTTCATCCCTGAAGCATCACCTGGGAGCTTGTTCAAAGTGCAGAATCTCAGCACTGTCAGACCCAGCTGGGTTATAATCTGTATTTTAACAAATCTCCAGGTGATTCATCTGCACATTAAAATTTAAAAAGCCCTCCCCATAGAACTACAGTACGGTTATCACACCACTGAAAATTAACAATAATTTCCCAGTCCACATCGTGATTGCTCTTTTAAAAGTGCTAATAGGTGAATCACATGCCTCGGATCACTCACCAAGCCTCGCTACAATGCATTGATCGGGCTGTGTTTTTCTCCGCCTCCTCTCTTGTCTTCCCCTCCCCAGGGGAGCTCATGGACGGCCGGAGGGGCCTGGTCCCTTCCAATTTTGTTGAGCGCGTGTCCGACGACGACCTGCTGGCCTCTCTGCCTCCGGAGCTGGCTGACTTGTCCCACAGCTCAGGCCCCGAGCTCAGTTTTCTGAGTGGCGGCGGAGGCGGCAGCAGTAGTGGGGGCCAGAGCAGCGGGGGACGCAGCCAGCCCCGACCGGAGGACGAGGCGGCCGGGGAGGCACCCAGCCCGAGCCCCCCACCTGAGGGCCTGGGGGAGCTCCCTGCCGTGCCTTACCCCCGCCGTCTGGCCGTCCTGAAGCAGCTGGCCCACAGCGTGGTGCTGGCCTGGGAGCCGCCTCCTGAGCGCGTGGAGCTGCGCGGCTACCACGTCTGTGTGAACGGGGAGCTGCGGCAGGCCCTGGGGTCCGCGGCACCCCCCACGGCTGTGCTGGAGAACTTGGACCTGCAGACCGGGCCCCTCCGGGTCTCCGTGCAGGCCCTGACCAGCCAGGGTGGCTCCGACCCGCTGCGCTGCTGCTTGCTGCTGGGGGCCCGGGCCCGCGTGGCTCCTAGCCAGCTGCGGGTCCATCGGCTGACCGCCACATCTGCCGAGATCGCCTGGGTGCCCAGCAACAGCAGTTTGGCCCACGCCGTCTACCTCAACGGGGAGGAATGCCCCCCTGCCCGCCCCAGCACCTACTGGGCCACCTTCTGCCACCTGCGGCCTGGTACCCTCTATCAGGCCCGAGTGGAGGCTCAGCTCCCGCCTCGAGGGTCCTGGGAACCAGGCGGGGAGAGGCCAGAGCCACGGGCTGCCACCCTGCAGTTTACCACACTGCCAGCAGGTAGGCGGGCTTGGGGGCCTGGTGTGTGTAACCCCTGGGGAGGTCAGGCCCAGGAGGGTGGCCCCAGGGGAGACTGGCTGCTACTTGCATCTTTAGGGAAGTGGCAGAGTGGGCTGTTCTCTCTGGCGGGTGTGCTCCAATCCTGGGTCTTGTGCCCCCTCCCCTAGGCCCACCTGACGCCCCCCTGGATGTGCAGGTTGAGCCAGGGCCCTCCCCTGGGATCCTGATCATCAGCTGGCTCCCGGTGACGATCGATGCGGCCGGCACCTCCAACGGCGTCCGGGTCACAGGTTACGCCGTTTATGCTGATGGGCAGAAGGTACAGCCTGGGGCTGCCCTCTCCTGTACCCTGGGAGTGGGGCGTGGGTCTCTGCCTTCTCCTGTACCCTGGGAGTGGGGCGTGGGTCTCTCCCCTGTCTGTGCTGAGAGGCCCCACCTCCCCGGCCTGGCATGGAGCTGCCCGCCCCGGGCACCTGTGCCCTAGGTAGCAGGTTGGTAGAGCATGGGCTTTGGAAGCCCATGGACTAGCACTCCAGCCCTGGGGCCCCGTGGCCAGGAGGCTCAGCGCCAGCGGCCGTGGTGTCGTGGGTGCCTGTGTGTGTCACTGCAGACCCCTTTCTCGTGCTGTGCCCCCCACCCGCAGATCATGGAGGTGGCCTCGCCCACGGCGGGCAGCGTGCTGGTGGAGCTGTCGCAGCTGCAGCTGCTGCAGGCGTGCCGCGCGGTGGCCGTGCGCACCATGTCGCCCCACGGCGAGTCGGCGGACTCCCTCCCTGCTCCTGTCGCCCCCGCCCTGGCCGAGGCCTCCGGGCTGGCCAGGGTCCCCTGCGCCTCCCCACGACCAGGCCTGGAGGCCAGGCCGCCCCTTGCTGCAGCCTCCCCGGGGCTGGGGGACCCCAGCTCTCCTCTCCGGTGCCCCGACCCCCATGGAGCTCAAGAGCCCCCGGGCGCCCCCCCAGCCAGCCCTCCCAGAGAGACGGCAGGAGGATCCTCAGAGGAGCCCCCAGTGCCTGTCTCGCAGGTACCCGGCCGGGAGGAGGGCAGCAGGCGGAGGCTGGGAGGAGGGTCCGGGCTCGGGCTGGGGGGCCCTTCCTCAGTGCCTGCCGTTCCAGGAGCAGGCTGGGGCAGCTGTGCTGGGGGCCCCTGGGGACGGGAAGGCCAGCGAGCCCGCCTTGGGAGACTGCGTTCCTGGCCCTGCCACCTCCTGTGTGGCCAAGGAGGACGCTGAGCAGACCGCAGGAGAGGCCCGCCTGGCAGCCGGTGCCACCCAGGGAGCGCTGGCCCAGAGGCTGCCCAGTGCCAAGGCCTGCCGTGGAGGAGACGCAGGGGCTGGGCTGAGGCCCCAGGCTGAGGTACAGGGCTGGGGTCGCCCCGGGCCACTGCGAGGAGTCGGGGGCCCCCTCCCTGCCTCTGCCAGCCCAGAGCTGGTTGCCCACTCTGCCCGTTCTCCACCCGGCTCTCGCTCTGCCCTGTGCTGTGTGTCTGGCTGTTTTTGCTTGCCGCTTTGTCTTCCAGGTTTCGTTCCCCGCCCCGCATGGTGCCTATGCCCCAATTTGGGGGCATGCCCCTCTCTCCTCTGCCTGGGGACTGCCCCATTCATCCTGGCTGGGGCTGACCCTGTCCTAAGGTCCCCATGTGCCCTTGCTCACCTCCCCGCTGTCCTCTCACGTCTGGCCTCTTGCAGGAGGACGCGGCCGAGCTGGGGGTCCGTCCGGGGAACTCCCTTGTGGACCAGGGCCGCACCTCGGACCTGTCAGACATCCAAGAGGAGGAGGAGGAGGAAGAGGATCTGGGTGTCAGGACCTGCTCCTTCCCGAAGCAGGTGGCTGGCCACGGCATCGGGGGGCAGGGGGCCAAGGTACCGGGGTGAGGAGGGGCTGGGGGGCCCTGCAGGTTCCCGCGGCCTCTGCTCCCCGAGTCAGCAGCTGCTCCGGTGTGCAGCCTGGGCCCTCTGCGGGGCGGCAGCTAGGAAGTAGCTCAGGCCCGGCTTCGGCCCTCCTGAAAAGGAAGGGGGGACCGAGGCGCCCCGTCCTGTAACTTCTCCCACTCAAGGCCGCTCGATGCAGCGCCCTCTGAGAGTCTCGCGTTGCTGGGAGCTTCGGAGGAGGGACTGGGAGGCCCCTCGCCATCTCAGGCCTGGCCTGCTCCCGACACTCAGCCCCTTTCTGCACCCTGTTCTTGGGCGGGCTCCTCAGTTCTCCCCGGGGCCGTGCCCTGGACACGCTGTGTGGCTCTGGGCCAGACTCTCTCTCTCTGGTCTTCCTTCTTGGAGGGAGGCAACAGGGGGTTGGGGGGGCGGGCTTTGGGTTACCTGAAACCCCTGCCCTCCTTTGAGGGCAAAGGTCACAGCTCTGTCCTTTTCCCATGGACCTCTCTTCCCTGCTGCCCCGCCCGCCCCCCGCCCCCCAGCCCCAGCCCCAGCCCGACCCCTTGTGTGAGACCGACAGCGACGAGGAGATCTTGGAACAGATCCTGGAGCCGCCCCTCCAGCACTTCCGCAGCAAGAAGCTGTTTAGCATCCCTGAGGAGGAGGAAGAAGAGGAGGAGGAGAAGGAGGACGGGGAGGCCGCGCAGGAGGAGAAGGGGCCAGGGGCAGGCTCTGCATCCAGAGACCCGGGCCCGCCTGCACCCCTGCCTCCGGGGCTGGGCTGCGACGGCGCGCGGCCCCGCGGGCCTGGCCTCTGCGCTTCATCCTGCAGCCCCTGCAGGGTTGGGGACCGCCCGGAGGACCCGCTGGGACTGGTCGGTGGCGGCAGCTGGAGGAAAGGAAGTGGCTCCCCCGAAAAGCCCCCTGGCCGCAGGCGGTCCCCGGATCTCCGGGAGCATTGCAGCCGGCTTCTCAGCAACGGCGGCGGCGGGTCCCAGGCGCCCGGCCGAGCACCGGGCCCTGCGCGCGAGAGGGGCGGCCCCTCTGCGGCCGAGGGCGCCAGGGCTGCGCCGGACCCCGGCGGGAGGGCGCGGCCCGCCCCTTCCAGGAAGTGCCCCCGGGGCCGGGCCCCGGAACCGGGCCTGGCCAGCTGCCTCTCCCCCAAGTGCTTGGAAATCAGCATCGAATATGACTCTGAGGACGAGCAAGAGATGGGCGGCGGGGACATGAGCATCACCAGCTCCGGCTGCCTCGGAGACGGGGAGGCCTGGGGTGCAGCCCCCGTGGGAAGGCCCAGGGCACCTCCGAAGGCCGGTTCAGGCCGCCACCCCTACCCATGCTCCGCGGCCTGGGAGAAGGGGGAGCCGGAGCGGAGAGGCCGCAGTGCGACGGGCAGAGCCCAGGAGCCGCCGCCCCGGGTCCGTGCCCTCTCCCGCCCGGGCAGCCCCCTGCCTGCTGCTGCCCGGTGGCCCTGCTCGCTGCCCACCGGCCGCTCCCATTCCACGCTGCCGCCTCCATCAGCAGAGGTGGGGTGGGCCTTGGGGCTCCCTCACCTGCCTCCTCCCACCCACATTCCACTGCTTTGCTGCTTCTGCCGATCGATCGGAACTGGGATGCGCTGATGTTCTGTGGCCATAAGTCGCCCATGGCTGCCAGCAGGCCCCCTGCCTTTGGGGCAGATGGCCCTTTCCTCCGCTTAGCTAGTGACAGCTTCAGGACCCAGCCTGCGATGTCCAGCATCGCCCAACCCCGACACGGAGAAGAGGCCCTCCTCTCACACGCGCCTCGGCCAGCGCTCAGATCTAAACCTTAGTCCCTCTACTGCACTCATCTGCTAAGGTGGCCGGAGCCCGGGCCTCCCCTCCTGCCCTTCCTCCCCCTGGGGGTGTCTGATGGCTCCAGTGATCTTGGGCCAGGGCTCCAGGAGAGGAATGTGCGTCCCTGCTCTGCTGTGCCGCTTCCGCCGACGGGGCAGAGCTGGGGGGAGCGCTGTTGGGGTCCTGCCGCTACTGAGGCGCCCAGCAGAGGGGTGGTGCATCACTCCTGCTGTCTGTTGCCCTCTTTTTGCAGGCAGCAGAGTCTGGGGAGCCCAGAGGGCTGGACAGCCCCGGGCAGAGTGGCTCCCAGCGGAGAGGGGGCCGGGCCCCCAGGCCAGGCTCCACGGAGCTGGGTGAGCCTCTGCGGGGGGTGGGCCAGGCCGAGGGGCTTCTCCCGCCTCCTTGGCCAGAGTTGATTGCAGTTTCTCCCCTGCAGCCCCCACGAGGAGCCCTCCAGAAGAAGCCCCGGCCCTCCGGGACCTCCCTGTCAGGGTCTTTGTGGCTCTGTTTGACTACGACCCTGTGTCAATGTCACCCAACCCTGATGCTGGGGAAGAGGAGCTCCCGTTCCGGGAGGGCCAGATCCTGAAGGTGATGACTCACAGTCTGGTCCTGCTCCCTCCCTCCTTTCCTGCCGTGTCCAGGAGGGTTCATAGCCTCACCCGGGGGGGAACGCAGCTTCTAGAGCCAGGTGATGTGGAGTGGGGTCACGACTGCCACATCGAGCCGTGAAACCGGGAGTAGACTCTTTCCTTTGGGCCTCATGGGTAAAGTGGGGATCATGTGAGTGTCTGCCTCACAGGCTTATTTTGAGGATTAGAGGATTCAGTACCCAGAGAGCACTGAAACGGCCTGGCACGTGGCTCAGCGCGATACTGCTGCTGTTAGCGTGACGACATCTACTGAGCCTCCAAGGATTTCCTGAAGGCTTTGGGCTAAAACTCTGAGGTCAGGGAGATCCAGTCTGGGGTGGACTGGGGGAATGGACGTGCAAACAGTGAATCATGATCGTTCAGATAGGGCTGTTTTCTGTCATCCCTCTGATTCTTCTTGGCTATTTCCCCCTATTTCCGATTCCATGAAAGGTAGAGCATTCTTCTGCAGTCCTGAGTTGGGGGCGCTGTGGGCTCAGGGAGCAAGGAGCAGGTGGAAGTGGCCTGCTGACACAGCTTGTCCTTTCTGCCTCTAGGTGTTTGGGGACAAAGACGCAGACGGCTTCTACCGGGGTGAGGGTGGGGGCCGGTGGGGCTACATTCCCTGCAACATGGTGGCTGAAATGGCCGTGGACAGCCCTGCGGGGACACAGCAGCTGCTCCAGCGGGGCTACTTGTCCCCAGAGGTTCTCGCTGAGGGCTCAGGTATGACTTGCTCCTGCCCCTCGCCCATCGCCCCCCACCCCAGTTCAAACTCAACACCCCCAAACCCCAAGTAATTTGGACATTGGGAGTGGCCAGGGTACCTGGTTGATCCAGAGAGTGGCAGAGTCACTGGGACCCTCAGAGACTCGGGCCCTTGTGGCCGCAGTAGTGAGCTTGCCACTCGGAATGGGGGCTGCTGCAGGGGGACCGGCCGTGTGTTTTAGATCCTGGAGGTCGGGGATGGGAGGGGAAGAGTGGCCTTAGAGACTTGAGTGCAGGAACCCTAGCACAGCCCCGAGAGAAGACCAGAGTCACTGTCCGTCTCGCTCCCTCCCTCGGTTTCCCTCTAATGTCTGCTTGCTGTCTGGAGCAGGGAACGGCCCCTTCGTCTACTCTGCAGCCCGCACCGCCGGGCCTCCCCCCAAGCCCCGTCGCTCCAAGAAAGGTGGGTGTGATCCTCTTCTTCTCCAGGGCCCCTGAGGATGAGGAGGGAGTTGGCCAGGGGCACTGCCTGACTCTCTGGGGAAACACAGGTCTGTCTTGAGCAGGTGGAGGGAACCGGCCCCATCTTCACCCACAGCCATGCGTCCCATGGGGAGCTTCACTCTAATGGGGATGGGCAGTGGTTTGCTAGAACCTTTGTTCTAGAAAGCATCCTTGTCTCTTATGTCTCCTGTATCGGCAAGCGGGCTCTTAACCCCTAGCACCGCCCGGGAAGCCCTGTTCCAGAAGGAACCTGACTATAGATTCTGTGCAACCTGGAGCAAGTGACCGACCCTATCTGGCCCTTAGTTCACTGTGAAGCCCACAGGGCCGGTCTGCTCTCGGGCTGATGGTCCTTCTCCTGCATCTATCCCTGTGTGAGGCTGAGCATCCTGCCTGCCCCGCATCAGCACCCCCACCTTCCCCTGCTCCCCAAGGGGAGGGCCAGAGGAGCAGGGCTCACAGGGCTCTTCTCTCCGCAGCCGAGTGGGAAGGGACTGCTCAGCCCTGTGGAGGTGAGGGGCTTCCCTGCGCCTCCAGCCTCCCCTGGAGCCACAGCTGCTGGGGAGGCGGCGACTCCGACTTGGGTCGGCAGGTCTCCAGCGCCGAGGACAGGAGGCGGGTGGGAGTGCCTAGAAAGAGTCCCGAGTCGTCTTCTGCTCCCCCTCCAGGGCCCCCCCAACTGGCCTCCTCTGCTGGCCTGAAAGCTCCCCATTCCATGGTGGCCGCGTTTGACTACAACCCCCGGGAGAGCTCTCCCAACATGGACGTGGAGGTGAGCCCCTTCCGGAGCCCAGCCAAGGCGGGGTGGAGACCATGCTTGCCCTGGCCTGACGCCTACATTGTGGTCTCTCTGTAGGCAGAGCTGCCCTTCCGGGCAGGGGACATCATCACTGTGTTCGGGGCCATGGACGATGACGGTTTCTACTATGTGAGGACGTGGGGGTGGGGGTGTGCCCAAGGGGGATCTCCTGGAACCATGGGGGAGGGGAACCAGGTCCCTGATGGAAGCCCAGAGGGATGGACCCCAGGCCATCCCCTCCGGGGCTTCAGTGTCCAGGGGGTGCTGTTGAGGCCCCTCCTGGTCTGTCTCACCCGCATCTCCTCCCCAGGGGGAGCTGAATGGACAGCGGGGCCTGGTTCCATCCAACTTCCTGGAGGGCCCTGGGCCTGAGGCAGGCGGCTCAGACAGGGAGCCTGGGACAGCCCCGTCCGAGGGCCAGGTCAGTGAGGACCTGGGCTCCGGCCTCAGCAGTCGGGTCTCTACGCGGCGGCGTGGGAGGGTGCAGCCGCGTGCAGCGGTCTAGGTGCCCATGGTGCCCAGGAGGGGGTTGTGAGCCATGGCCGGAGGGGACCCAGCCAGGGTGGCTCCCCCCACCCCCCCAGCGTGTGCCCCTCTGTGTGATGGGGCGAGGCCGAGACCTTGATCCCGGTCTCATCTGACCCGGCCGCCCACACCCCCGGCCAGTGCAGGGGAGGGCCCCCTGGAAAAGGACCCTCGAGTCTCCCACACCTCTCATCAGCACAGCCCCCATCGCAGGGACCCTCCCTGCTCGCCTGCTGCAGCTCCCCGGCTCCCAGGAGCTTTTTAAAGCTGGACACCCAGCAAGGCCCCAAGTCCTGGGTGGGTGGAGTACACTTTCAGGCTCCCAGGGCAAGAAGAGGGTGAGGGGGCCGGGCCCCAGAAAGCCTGGGGCCTCCATCTGCACTAGTTCCAGAGTCAGGGGCTGTGCAAGCAGGACCTAGGAACCCGAGTGGCCTGGAGACTGGGTGGAGGGCTCGTGGTCTGCCGGTAACCCATCTCCTCTCTTTGTTCCCTGTTCTTCAGAGAACGAGGAGGAGAAGAGACCAGTGCTAGATGGAGATAGATATATGTAGAGAGAGCGGCATGTAAGTGGGGACTGACCCCCTGGGTCCAGGTCACCCCGTTCCTCGGCTCACCCTAATCAGATAGTGCTCCTTGTCTCAGGCATGGGAACCCCACTGGCTTGTCCACCTTCTTCCAAGGAACAGGGGAGGGAGCTTTGGCCGCGAGCCCACTTTGGAACTCGGATCAGCCCCTCCCCTTACCTTATTCAAGGCGGTGCCAGCTGCCTTAGAAGTACATGTCATCCTAGTATGTACTGTCCCATGGTAACTGACCCTTCATGTTCTATAGCACATGAGGCTCATAGAATGTTGTGTGACATCCATATTGCGGCTCATCGGTGTATTATGATACTATATGACTATGGTATTATAATATTGTGATTATTATTGGTGACAGAAGTGTTGTACTAATGCCACCAGTAATAATAGTCTCCATCTCTCCACCCTTGTCCTCTGTATCATGACCTCTTAGGGGTACCAGAGGCATGATTTTATGTCCAACTTTCCATTTTCTTGCCGGGCGGTAGGTATTAAAGGGGAAGCTTAAACAGTCGGAGTCCATGTATAACCTCAAATCATTCATCTCTGGGGCCTCTCCCATGTGTCTCCTGGGACCCCTGGGTGGGAGTGTTAAGGGCCTCCGATCTCCTCCCCACGCTGGCCAGTCATCAGCCCTGGCTAGTTGGAAAGAGACTCTTTGACCTCTGGGTACTGCCCTCCTCCAGGGGATCTTCCCGACCCCAGGGATCGAACCCATGTCTCATATCTCCTGCGTTGGCAGGCGGGTTCTTTACCACTTGCACCACCTGGGAAGCCCCCTCTGGGTGCCAGCACACCTCTTTGCGGGGAGCCCTGCCAGATCACCAGGGCCTTAGGTGGAGGCGGGCCCTAGGCTGGACACCCGGCACCTGAGTTCTGTGATTGGTTCTGCCAGTAGACCGCCAGGCCCTGGTGGAAGCAGGGGTTTGAGGAAGGGAGTAGGGGGCAGGGGCGGAAAACTGGCAGGACCTGATGGGCTGTACCAGGCCCAGGAGGTCACAGAGGGGACGTGGGGATTCAGCGGGGGTGGGGAGGCTTCCTTGTGGCTCTCTTGTTTGTCCCGTCCCTGTTTTTAGGCCACTTACAGCACAGTCTGGGTGGGCATGTGGCAGAGGGAGCCACTCATGGTGGCTCAGAGAACAAGGAGATTGTGCAGAGGGGATGTGCTGAGGGCAGGGCGGGGCGGTCAGTGCGGGCGGGGAGCAGCTCTCTCTGGAGAGAGCTCATGGTGAGTGTGAGTGCCTCTGGCCATGCCTCCCTGCAGCCCTCTCTAGGGCCATCCAAGGAAGAGTCTCCATCTTCCCCCCATGCAGTGGGCACTTCTCCCCTCCCTGAAGGCCCTGCTCACCACGTGGGCCTGCTCCTTGTCTGTGCGGTGGTGCAGGAGCCACCTTCCCTGGAGGGTCTGGCTCCTTCCAGCATCCCTGTCCTTGCTCTCCCGTTGGCTGGGAGGGGATGATGGGGTGGGGGTGGGGTGTTGGAGCAGGTATTCCAAGGGTCAAGTCCAAGGGCTCTTGAGCTCCATCAGCCCAGCATCCTGCAGAGAGACCCAGAGGAGGGGAGGGGCTCGCCTCCCTCCAAGAACCAAAGCAGAACTGAGCCTCCTCGTCTGTGCCTTCTGACTCCCAGCTCCGTGCCCCCCCATCATCGTGCCCTCCCGGTGCTCTGCATGGGGCGGCGGCCGGACCGTGGGTTCTGGTTCACACCCGTGCTTCTGTGATGACTTGGGGGCTGCGGGCCCCTGAGGTCGTGCAATAAAGGAGGCAGGGTGAGGTGGGGGTCATGCCTTGACCTTGCCCCTTTTTTCTCACTTTCTAGGACTGGGTCAGCTCAACCCAGGGGCCCGCAGCACCCCCAGGCTGGCCCTGTGCTCCTGGCCCTCGCTGCTTCCCCAAGGTTGAACTGGGGTTGCCACAGGGCCCAAGCAGGAAGGTGTGGGTTCTCCTCTCCAAGGGGAAGCAGCTCCTCTGGAAACTGGGCTCGGGGAAGAAGGAGTGATGCTGTGGTCCCCAAGGCCCCAGCTGCGTGGGGAAGGCCCTGGACTCTGGTCCTCCCGAGTGAGTGCCGTGGCGCTGGGACAGGACTCAGACTCAGTGAAGGTCAGAGCTAGAGGAGCGGCTGGTCCTCTGGATGGGCATCGTCTTCTTACAGGCGGGGACCCTGAGCCCCTGCACGGGGACAAGTCCAGGGGCTGAGCACCTGGTCACAGAGCCGGCCGGGGACACGGACTTGTCCCTCCTGGTTCACCCATCTGCACCACCGCGCTGTGCTAGTCCCCTCCTGGCCTCCACATGCCTGACTCGGGGAGATGCTATTCCCTCTGATGGCGCTGGCCATCCTCTTCATGTCTTCCCTCCCTGAAGGAAAGTTTGCACTGGATTCTGCTGAGCCCCCCATCCCGGGGGCGAGCTGTGTATATAGATGTACATACTCAGTGCCTCAGCCCAGCTTCCTCCCTCTCGCTTCCACCGCACAGGCCGGGGAAGGAGAAAGGCCAAGCCAAAGCGGGCCTGACCCCACCCCATAGCGCCCCTCCGCACCCCCCTGCCAGCCGCCCTCCTGGCCAAGACCCGGGGCCGGTGGGCAGAAAGCAGGAGTTGGGTTTGCCTTATTTTGCTCATCGGATTCAACTTCTCTTTTGCATCGTTTTCTTCTGGCCCCTGTTGGAGTCTGGGGGCTGGGGGAGAGGACAGATTTATGCAACTATTTTCATACATTCCCTGTTCAGAGTGGGGTGGGGGTTTGTCCCCCTTCCCCTTAGCACCCCTCTCCTCACACTCCGGCTGGGTGAGTGTCTCTGCATGTTTCCATTGCTGTGGTGGGAGGTTGTTTGAACTCCCACCCCCACCTTGGTCTCCAGGGGTGTGGAATGGTGGGGGCATTTGTTTAAAAAGACATTTTATTATAATAAAGTCTATTTTCACAAAACCCATGCTGGGCTCTACCTGGGATGAAGGACTCCTGAGGGGTGGGCCATGGTGGACTTTGGACTCCACTTTAGAATCCAAAAGTTAACATCTGAGGGTGACCAGGGGTAAAACTAATGAACACCAAGAAGATCAAGCAGCTCTGGAATTGTTTTCTCAAGAAGGTTTGGGGGCTTCCTGACTTCCTGATCACCGGGTCAGGTGTTGAGAATTGGGTCAGGATCCTGGAGGAATGAAAGAGACCTGGGAAGGGGGTACAGAGACAGGGGGAGAGAAGGCACCAGTTTCAAGGTGGTGGACTGAACTGATTGCATACCACAATCTTGGTTCTCCTGGACCAAATTCATAGGAATAATAAAGGGAATAAAACCCAGCCAAACACCCAAATAAACAACATACATAGCTCCATTTGAAGAAGGGGGACTCCCACTAGATGAGAAACAGCAGGATTTCAGAAAAGACAGAAAGCAGATGGGAGGACTTCCCTGGTGGTCCAGTGGCTAAGACTCCGAGCTCCCAATGCAGGGGGCCTGGGTTTGATCCCTGGTCAGAGAACAAGATCCCGCATGCCACAACCAAGACTGGGCACAGCTAAATCAGTCACCCAGTCTTACAAGAAGAAAACAGATGAGAAATCACATTCAGAAATCTCAAAGCAGAACTCGGAAGACTTCTGCACAGCTCTGCGCCTAGAGGAGGCACCAACAGCCGGAGGACCACAGGGGCCATGACAGCATGATTAGTTGGGATTCCGTGTGGGGAGCCTCCAGGCCGATGGCTGCACATTCTCCTCTCCATGGGCCAAGGGGCAAAGGTGAGGATGGCTGCCTTTAGATGAAAACACTGGGAGTGGCAGCTTGGACCAGAGACCAGATGGTAAATGGCTGGCAGAACCCTGTCAGAAACCAGAAGCATCATTGCCCAGGGAAGGCACCACCAACATGAGCACAGTGTTCCCGCCTCCCTCTCTCACCGAAACCCTGCAAGTCAGCAACAGTACCCACCCAGATGCTTTACAGGGACTCTCAACTACTAAGGCAAGGACACAAGACAACACAGAGATCAATTTGGGAAGAACTGACATTTGAATCATGTGAACCTATGAACAAAGTTCATATGAACCTGTTTACATATGTCTTTAATGTCTCTTGGCCATGTTTTGTAGTTTTCAGTACAGATTGTGTACATCTTTGTCAGATTTATCCATAATGATTTGATATTTTTGATCCAATTATAAATGGTACTATTACTTTAAATTCCAATTTCTGATGCTTTGTTGTTAGAAAACAGAAACACAAGTGGTTTTTGTGTTTTGGGCTTGCATGCTGCAACCTTACTAAACCCACTTCTTAGTTCTAGCAGTTGTTTTATAGATTCCTTAGAATCCTCTACACATGTGATCATACTTGTATATGAACAAAGACAGTTTCACTTCTCCCTTTCAAATTTTGATGCATTTAGTTTCTTTTGCCTGCATCACTGCACTGATAGTACAACGCTTAATAGAAATACAGGAAGAGGACACACTTGCTTTGTTTCTGGTCTTAGGAGAAAGCCTTCAGTCTTTCACCATTATGATGTTAGCAATAGTGTTTTTTGGAGGAGGCCCTTTGTCTGGTTTGAGGAAATTCTCTTCTATCCCTCATTTGCAGAGAAGTGTTTTTTGTTTTGTTTTATTTTAAAGAGAATCTGCATTAAATCACAACTGCAATGAAGTATCACCCCACACCCATCAGAATGGCCATCATCAAAAAATCTACAGATGATCAATGCTGGAGAGGGAATGGAGAAAAAGGAACCCTCCTACCTTGTTGGTGGGAATGTAAATTGCTGCAGTCACTATGGAGAACAGTATGGAAGAGGTTCCTCAAAAAATGGAAAATAGGACTACCCTGGTGGTCCAGTGGTTAAGAATCCGCCTGCCAGTGCAGGGGACACGGATCCGATCCCTGGCCCTGGAAGATTCCACACGACATGGAGCAGCTAAGCCTATGCATCACAACTACAGAAGCCTGCAAGCTCCAGAGCTCGTGCCCCAGGACAAGGAAAGCCGCTGCAATAAGAAGCCCACATGCCACAACAAAGAGTAGGCCCACTTGCCTTAAACAGAGAAAGCCCAAGTGCAACAGTGCTTCCATAAAAATAAACAAACAAATCAATTTAAAAAACTAAAATAGAGTTACCGTATAATTCTGCAATCCCACTTCTGGGGCATAGATCCAAAGAAAACCATAATTCAAAAAGATACATGCACCCCAATGTTCATTTCAGCACTATTTACAATAGCCAAGACATAGAAGCATCCTAAATGCCTATTGACAGAGAAAAGTATAAAGAAAATGTACACACACACACACACACAGGGGAATATTACTCAGCCACAAAAAAGAATGAAATAATGCCATTTGCAGCAACATGGATGAGCCTAGAGATTATCATATTAAGTGAAGTAAGCCAGCCAGGAAAAGGCAAATACATATTATATCACTTATATTTGGAATTTAAAAAATGATACAAATGAACTTACCTGCAAAATAGAAACAGACTCAAACACAGAAAAAAAGGTATGGTCACCAAAGGGGAAGTGGGTGGTGGTGGTCTAGTCACTAAGTCGTGTCTGACTCTTGTGACCCCATGGACTTTAGCCTATGAGGCTCCTCTGTCCATGGGATTCTCCAGGCAAGAATGCTAGAGTGGGTTGCCATTTCCTTCTTCAGGGGATCTTCCCGACCCAGGGATTGAACCCGGTCTCCTGCATTGCAGGCAGATTCTTTATGAACTGAGATACGAGGGAAGCCCAAGGGGAGGCGTAAAGTAGGAGTTTGGGATTAACATATACACACTATTACATATGAAATAGATAACCAATAATGACCTACTGTATAGCAAAGGAAACTATACCCAATATTTTATAATAACCTATAAGGGAAGAGAATCTGAAAAAAAGGTATATAACTGAATCACTTTGCTGTATACCAGAAACTGACAGAGCATTGTAAATCTACTAGACTTCAAAAATTAATTAGAAATTGAGAGAATCAGTCTTAATTCATTTATTTTTATTTTTTAATATATATATTCTTTTTCAAGTTCTTTTCCATAATGGCTTAGTAGAAGATATTGAATACAGTTCCCTGTACTATACAGTAAGAACTTGTTATTTATCTACTTTGTATATAGTAGCTTGCATTTGCTAATCCCAAACTTCTAATTTTTCCCTCCTCAGACTCTCCCCTCTGGTAACCATGAGTTTGTTTTCTACATCTGCAAGTCTGTTTCTGTTTTGCAAATTAATTCATTTGTATCATATTTTACATTCCACATGCAAGTGATATCATATACTTGTCTGTCTCTGTCTGACTTAACTTCAAGCTTTGCATAATAATCTCTTGATCTACCCAGGTTGGTGCAAGTGACATTAATTCATTCCTTTTTCATGGCTGAGTAATATTCCATTCTGTATACATATCATATCTTTATCCATTCACTTGCCTATGGACATTTAGGTTTTTTTTGGTCTTGACTATTGTAAAAAGTGCTGCTATGAACATTGGGGTGCACATATCTTTTTAAAATTTTATTTGTTCCAGTTTTTTATGATTCTACTTTTTTTATGATTATTTATTTATTTTTGGTTGTGCTGGATCTTTGTTGGTGCACATGGGGTCTCTCTAGTTGTGGTGAGCAATGGGTTACTCTTCATTTTAGTGCACAGACTTCTCATTGCCTTGGCGTCTCCGGTTGGGGAGCACAGACTCTAGAGATTGTGGGCTTCAGTGACTGTGGTGCATGGACTTAGTTGATCTATACCTGTGGAATCTTCCTGGGCCAGGGGTTGAACCCCACTGGCAGGCAGATTCTTAACCCCTGGGCCACCAGGGAAGTCCTGCGTGTATCTTTTTGAATCGTACTTTTCTCTGGATATATGCCTGGGTATCACTAGATCACATGGCAACTCCATTTTTAGGTTTCTTTTGGCCAGGCCATGCAGCTTGCTGACTCCGTCCCCCCACCAGGGACTGAACCAGGCCAGACAGTGAAAACACCGAGTCCTAACCGCCGGATGGCCAG